TTTGGAAGCAGCTAGAACAAAAAATTTTTCACTGTTAAATAGGGCATTGTTTACACTATATATACCGCTATTCAAAACAGAAAATTTCGTACCTACGATTTTTTCAGAAAATGCCGCCTAAATGCCCGCTGTGATGCGTCCGCTACCTGATGAACAATTAAACGGGCTATCTGGCTATGTAGTTAAAAGAGTTTTTCAGGTCTGGATCTCGGTTGATTCGAGGAGAAGAGCTTCATGAATTCGGCTGATGATAGTACGAGTGAAGATATATTAATAGAAAAGTATTAAACAAGATCGGACATGTGGTGTACGAGATAACTGAACTCCAACTAGAGGATTTTTTGATTTTTTTGAAAACCTCAAATTGTCAAAGTCGAATATCTCGGATACGATAAATCCGATAGACTGTTGATTTCTGGCATAAGAGCCAGCCAAACTATGAACTCGAATTCCATTCTTCCGGTCTTTTTCTGTAAAAAGTACTCTTAGACTTATATTACGAACATCAGACCTTCTTCATTATGATATCCGGGCGCGACACCAGATACAGCAAGGAGCATTCTTTTCCAAACATCCGTTCACACCATTACAATTTCCCTGCTTTTCTATTACGATCTCCCGCACAAGAATGTTTACAAACTACCATTATAAATCTTTTAATTGCAGAAATTTATTTCCCAACACCTGGATATATGTCCGGAGTTCGGAATGGCTTAAGACGAAAGCTAGATACTCCGCAGCACCGTCAACAGAGATTTTCTAACGAGGGAACATATGTAACTGACCAATCGTTTTTTTAATGAAATCTAGTGGAGTATAGATAAAAAATACTGCTGAATCCGAATATCGGCATGAGACGGGCGCTAGGCCTTGCGAGTACCGGATTTCTAAGAAACCAGGTTTCCAGAGTCAGAAACTTTTAGTTCCAAAACTTTTTTCTGATCTGTCTCGATTCTAGAGCACATCGAGAAACCTATAAAAAACTAGTTCTCAGAATTTTGGAACCCTTCCACAGCCCGCCAGACGGACTTTTCTTCTCTTTTCCGTACGCTGAGGTTTTTTGAGGGGGCAAAAACACTTTAAAAAACCCCAAAACTAGTTTTTTATAGGTTTCTCGATGTGCTCTACAATCGAGACAGATCAGAAAAAAGTTTCTGGCTCTGGAAACCTGGTTTCCCAGAAATCCGATACTCTCAAGGCCTAGCAGCCCGTCTCATGCCGATATTCGGATTTAGCACTATTTTTTACCTATACTCCACTAGATTTCATTAAAAAAATGATTGGTCAGTTACATATGTTCCCTCGTAAGAGAGAGAGCACTAACTGATTTGAATTTATATAATTAGAATTTCCTGCACTAATTAGTTTTGAAAATGTGTCAGTGTGGAAGTTTGAGGGACATAGGAAGTCAGATGGGCATTGTGTGAATCACTGCTGTTCAACTCCATTTCGAATGTTACAAAAGTTTAACTTAGTTTCATAGCTATTTATAGAAAAAAAAGAAGTTCACTAGTCAAGTGTCGAGATGAATATGATTTATTCACGTTTATTTTTGATGAATCAAACACGGATAAGATACGGTTACCAAAACGAAGCTGTAGTTTTTCTAGTGATCTGCAAGCGTGGCGGCGCCAGCTATATGAGAAAGAGTTTTCTCTCCTTGTCAAGAACTTTTGTTGAGCAAAATTCGCTCTCGTCTCTGCTCATAGTCAAGATCGTAACTATGTGAGCAGACTGGGACTTTCTTCCGAGATACAGCCGTCACCTAATGAACATAAGAATAATTGTTACTCAGAGGAGAAATATTTTCAATCAAATATTAAATAATAGATTTCCCTATTGAAGCTAAATATTGATAGTATAAGCGCGTACGGTTTAACTATTTTAATCATTAAAATAGTTAAACCGTATGTGCTTATACTTAAATAGATATAGCAACTAATAAAATACACGTAAGTCAGGTGTATTTTATTAGTTGCTATATCTATTTTATTAGATTTTTGAACATATTTAAGTTTTATGTGAACATATGACATCAGATTTATTTCCCATCACTAAAAATATCTACACAAAAGAATCGGTATTTATCGAATTTTCATTATAATACATATTCGTATATCATGGTATATTATTAAAAAGCAAAATACAAAAATTAAGCCGTTGAACGTATTTGATTGATCCATGGAATATAATGACTAACACGTGTATAAACACCAGGGAAATCTTTAAAAGCACATCCATTACCATAACTAACGACACCGCTAACATGCCATTGCCCATTAGCCTGATACATTAATGGACCACCCGAATCACCTTTAAGAAAATAAATTAAAAAGTGAAACGTATGCTTTTTAGTCTACATTATACACTTTTTAGACACACTCTAAGTACACTATGGGTCTTTTTTTACCTTGACATGTATCCATATGAAATTGCGGAGTACCACCACATAGTTGTTTTTCATTATTGAAATTATATACATGACATCCGTTCATAATTTTTATTGGTGCTTGAAGAAGTTTTTGACTAACGCTTCCTTGAAACGATGTTGTACCCCAACCAGCTACAACATGACTAATACATCCATTATAGTTCCATATATAGAATCAAAATATATCTTACCGATCATAACGTTTGAATTAACTTCTGGATCAGGACCCTGTAAACAAGCTATATTCACATGTTCACTCAATGTAACTGGTGTGTCCAATCGGAGGATAGCTATATCATTTTCTTGTGTATTTGTATCATACTGATTGTGGATAAATATTTTTGCTATTCTATGGCGTTGTGGACTGCGACGATCATAATTCCAGTTGTCATGATCGTGAAGACCAGTTACAACTGAATATATGCCCGAGTTAACTTCTTCAGTATCAATACAATGTGCTGCCGTTAATACATGCTGAGTATCAATTAGTGTACCACCACAACTATGACCACCGTTTCGTTGAAATGAAATGAGCCATGGCCATGAACTACATCATATAAGAGATAGAATAAAAAAACAATCAAAATAGAACAAAACTTACTGTGCTCTAGCTTCCGAACCACCGACAATTCGTGTTTGTGTTGGGGTTATTATTTGTTTACCACATTCTTGATTCGGTATCGGTTTGGTTGGCACAACATCAGCATCACAACAAGCACGAATAGATCCAGAATCCGCTGCATTACGTTCTGCATAGGGTGCTCCAGAACAAAGACCAGGCATCATTGATATCCATAGTGAACTTAGTGGTACCCATTGTGTACAACGTTTACCATGTTCAATTACAGATAATTCAAGTTGATTAGCTGTTACACCAACAACGAATAATAATGATAATGTTGTTAGATACAACATGTTGCTGATGATAATATCGATACGATACTGTCTTTATTTTGATCAAATGTTCCTCTTATTTTGTTCGGATTCAATGTTGTATCGCTATTTTATAGTAAAAGTCTTTAATACCAATAACCTTGAATGTTAGGCTCTTCGTTGTTTTGTTTTCATGAAATTTAGGCTATTTTTAATACTTGGAAAATTAAAAAAAAGCATCTGTCAAAGAAAAGAAAAATCAATTAAAACTATACAAGGCCGTCGGATAGACGATATTTTAGAAATTTCATAAAATAAATCAATGAAATCTCAAAAGATTGCACTTAGGTAAGTTATAAATTCTTGATATCTTTTGCGATATTATAGATACGAAAGAAAATATTTCCTAGGTGACAGTGGCGTCTATCTCCATCTGAATGTTTGAAAGATTTTGTACCACCTCGGAGGTTCAATCTCTCAGTGAAACACCTGAAAAATTAAATTATACAGCACAAAAGCGTACCATCTTACGATTCTTTGAGGGATTCCGTCTCAAACGTCCCATAGGATAGATGCCCCTGCAAAGTAAGCGAGCGATTGAATATTTTAAGATTTGTTGCTGTGATATTTTATGGTGAGTGCTGATCAGCATGAGAAAGTGTATCAGAACATGTGCTAATTAAAGCTAAAGACGAAAAAAGGTTTTCATCCAAAAGATCACGACGTATATGACACAAAATCTGCTTCTCCCTTAAGTGTTCACTTCCATTGTATAGCTTGAACCCCTAACTCTAGTGCTCAAAGGTCCATTACCATTTTCTTCACGGCAGCTCGGTTCACGAAAAATCGAATTTTTGTAATTGAGATGTTCAAACAGTTAGTAATTCAGTAAAAGATTATAACTCCGAAAAACACAGCATATTTTAACCATCGGCTTTAGCTGGATTTCCTGTAATCTTGACGACATCTTGACGACAAGAAAATCAATTCTCACATTTGTTTTTATTTATAACCTAAACCTATTGCTACTATCCGTTCCAAAATACAAGGCAGCACATTGTATTGATACTGAAGAAGTTAACTCGGGCATATATTCAGTTGTAACTGGTCTTCACGATCATGACAACTGGAATTATGATCGTCGCAGTCCACAACG